ACATCTGCCCCTTCCCCGGCAGCTCCTTGTTCCGTGTTCAGCAGTGGGGAGAGACCCCCTGTGTGGGGTCCAGATGTGTCCGGGGGGCTGCCAAGCCCTGGTTTACTAAAAAATATAAATAATCACTTAAAGCATTATTTTTTCCCAACATTCTCCTGGCGAGGAGATAAATAATGTGGGGTACGAGTCCATGAAGGAGCAAGGAGGTGGCTGGTTCCTGGCATGGGACATGTGGAGAGTGACTGTCCCCCAGCACCCAGGTGACCCCCAGCTTTGCAGGACTCAAAGTGAGAACACGGGAGCGGCAGCGCTGGGGGTTTGGAGTCTTTCCCAAGGTTTTTCGCACGTCTCACAAACCCAGGAGAGCGTCAAAAGGCAACCTCTGCTCTGGAGGCAAAACCTCATCAGGACTCATTGCCCAAGGTGTTCCCAAGACCCACCCCATGCCCCGTGAAACGGTAATTGAAAGCATCCTGGCCGAGCAGGTGGGATGGGAGGTCTATGAGACAGAGGAGATGATGGCAGGGTGGGAAGTCTGTGAGATGGAGACGATGGTGGGATGGGAGGTTCATGAGACGGGGGAGATGATGGTGGGATGGGAAGTCTGCGAGATGGAAGAGATGATGGCAAGGTGGGAGCCCTTCAAAACCATCTTCTGCAATGTTTTGCCATTGCGCAGCCCAAACCCCAAAGCTTCCACGTGCCCCGAGGTCAGATCCTGTCACCCGGCCTTTGCCCCAGCACGTCCTGGTGTTAAAAGCTGCTGAGATCCCACAGCGGTGTCCCAAGGGCGCCCTGGGGCTGGGGAAGGAGAAGGGAGTGGAGGTTGGGAGACCTGGGGATGGTGTGTTGGAAACATGAGTCTCTGGGGTGGGGAGAGTGGGGAGGAGGTTGTGGGGACGCTGCGGGTGGAATAGTTGGATGAGTCTGGCCAGCGAGGGGCTGCAGCTGGGGGGGTGTAAGGTGGGGCAGTCAGCCATCCTGGGACCCTCAGCCACTGTGGAGCCCTTGGTCACCTTGGACCCTCAGCCACAGCAGGAGCCGCAACTGCCCCAGGACACTCGACCACCCCAGGACCTTCAGCCATCCTGGGACCCTTGGCCGCCGTGGGACCCTCAGGTACCCCAGAACCCTCAGCAGTTCTATGACCTACAGCCCCCGTGGAACCCTCAACCACAGCAGGACCTTCAAAACCACCCTAGGACCCTTGGCCACTCCTGGACCCTCAGGCACCTAAGGACCCTGAGGAATCCCACAACCTACAGCCACCCTGGGACCCTCGATCACCCCATTCACCATCTCCCACCCCCATCCCATGTCTGCACTCCCCCCCGCAAAGTCCCTTTCCCCTGGTGGCTGGGGACACAGGGGGGAAGGTGAAGCCCCAAGGAGACAAATCCCAGCACACCACTGGCAGTGGGGACAACTGGGGGGGCTCCAGGGGGGCTCATTAAACCCACCCTGACCCTGGAAGTGGGGAGGGGGTGTGTTAGGGTGTGTGTGGGGTCTCGGGGTGCGGAGATGTGGGGCATGAGGACCCCCCAGGACAGCCCTGGGGTGGGGATCCCCTGGAACCACCAGGGAGTGGGGGGCCCCTCAAACTGCCCTGGGGGGGGGACCCTGAGAATTAGCTCAGGGGTGGGGGTCACCGAGAAGGAGGAAGCTTGGCTCCCCCGTTATTTTGCTGGTGGGTGACGATGGGGGCTCACGGGTGGGATCCCCCCCCTAGTGCCCCCAGAGGCCGGTGGGATGGGGATGATGCCCGATTTTTTGGGGAGATCCTCCTGCCTTCACGTCCCCCCCAGCTTGTCCCCCCCCAGGCCGTGACCCTGAATGGGGAGGAAGAGCTGGGAGTGAAGCCCACTATGGGGCAGGAAAGGAGATTTGGGGGGGGGGGGGGGTGTTGCGGGGGGGGGGGCCACCCCAAAAACC